CCTTTGCGTACCTTCGTACAGACGTACTTCGACGACATATTCGTCCATAGCCGTACCGAGGGAGGCAAGACGGCCATGGAGGTGCATCTAGGACACCTCCGTCGAGTGTTGGACGTAATGCGAGCGAACAAGCTCTACGCCAACATCGACAAGTGCGTTTTAGCGTCACCAGAGATTAAAGTTCTCGGTTGCTTCGTAAGCAACGTGGGCGTTCGGGCTGACCCAGACAAGGTCAAGGCCATAGCAGCATGGCCGACACCCCGATCCCAGAAGGATCTTCGAAAGTGGTTGGGCTTGGCCAACTACCTTCACAAGTACAGCGCAGGGTACGCGGGCTTCGCTAAGCCCTTGTCGAGCCTCCTTCAGAAGGACGTCGACTGGCGCTGGGAGCAAGAGCACCAGGATGCTTTTGACAGCATCAAGGCCAGTCTCCAAGAGGCCCCTGTCCTGGCCCTGCCGGACGAGACGAAGCCGTTTAGCGTCGTCTGCGATGCCTCCGATTATGCCATGAGATGTGCATTACTGCAGGCCGACACGGCTGGACACGAACGAGTCATCTCGTTTCAGTCCAGGCAGCTCAAAGCCGCCGAGCGGAACTACCCTGTCCACGACAAGGATCTCCTGTCAATGAAATATGCCCTTGTGAAGTTTCGTGTTCACCTTCTGGGCTCTAGGCCCTTTGTGATCTACACAGACCACGCGTCCTTGAGGACGGCGACTAACCCGCCTCACCTCTCCCAAAGGATGGCGAGGTGGCTGTCCTTCTTCGCGGAATACAACTTCCGCGTCGAATACAAGCCGGGCAAGCTCAACGTGCTTGCGGACGCCCTCTCTCGGCGTCCTGACTATGAGTTGGCCCACATCACGCGGGTGACAACGGATCTATATGATCGGATACGCATGGCGTATCGGGACGATGAGGCTGTCGCGCCTATTGTCAAGTTCCTTATGGCAGGAACGAGCGCGAAGTTTGACTGGCTCTCGTCGCGACAGCGCTCACGGCTCCACCCAGATGAGTTGAAGGATGGACTCCTCTATTTCCGGGTGGTGCTCACTGATCCTCCACGGGTGGTCGTACCCAACGTCGAGGATCTGAAGTTCGATATCCTCGCGGAGGCGCACGACGCGCCCTCCAGCGGCCACTTGGGCCGCGAGAAGACCTTTCTGTCGGTCTCTCAGTCCTTCAGGTGGACCCACATGTACAAGTGGGTCGCCCGATACGTTAAGACATGCGAAACATGTCAGCGGGTCAAACCCGCAGGGCACTCTTCAGCTCCACTACAGAGCCTGCCCGTACCGGCTGACCGGTGATAAGTAGATGAGTCTTGACTTCATCTTTGGGCTTCCCGCCGACGGGCAGGCAACACTGGAATTTTGGTGTTCGTGTGTCGGCTGAGCAAGATGGTACATCTTGCTCCGGTTCCCGTCACTGTTACGGGCGAACAATCTGCAAGGTTGTTCGTCGATGGCGCGTTCCGCTATCACAGTCTCCCGGAGACGATTGTCTCGGACCGAGACCCGCGGTTCACGGCTGCGTTTTGGAAAACGCTGCTCCCCTCGCTGGGAAATCGTTTGCAGATGTCCACTGCGGATCATCCGCAGACAGACGGCCAGACAGAGCGCGTCAATCGAGTGCTCGAGGACACTCTGCGCAGTGTGTGTGCGGCAGCACCACGTACGTGGTCGACGCAGCTTCCAGTTGTTGAGTTTGCGCTCAACAACGCGGTGCACGCGTCCACGGGGTTCACGCCGTTCTACTTGAACGGCTTCCGTCACCCCAGAGTGCCTCTCACTCTTCGAGGAGCCACTGACTCCTCTATTCTAAGTGGGGGAGAGGCTCGGAAAGCCCTTTCCTCCCAGGTCTCGGATGTGAGACCAGTTCCGCTGCGGAAACAGGTGGAATCTTTTATGGAGACCAAGCTGAGCGTTGTCAGCAGGGTCCGCGATGCCATGGCAGCGGCCCAAGATAAACAAAAGGAGTACTCAGACAAACATGGAGGAGAAAACTTAAGTGTATTTAAAGTGGGGAATTTATTGTTACTAGACACGAGGAACCTACCTCTTGACACTGTCAGCTCTGTCGGCAGCAACAAGCTGAAGCACCGCTTCATCGGACCATTTGCAGTCCTGGCCAGACATCTTGCGTCGTACACCATCGACCTGCCAAAGTCAATGACGACGCACCCGACGCTCTATGTTGGACGTCTTAAGCGGTACTTTGACCCGCAGGGGTTGCTGACTCGCAGACCCCCCTTGCCCCAGCTCCTCGAAGCAAGGGCCGGTCACAGATGTCGACGAGGGCGTCGGAGCAGGCACCCAAGCCTCGGTCGGAACGGCAAGGCTGCGGTCAAGGCCGTACGCCGGAGGGGCTCCGTATGAACGGACCCCGGCGCCATACGCCGAGTACGCTGAGTACGCCGGGTACGCACCATACGCGTACGTCTGGGAGTGGGCCGCGGGCGGCTCCGGACGTGGCAGCAGAGCCTCGATCCGTCGGATCATGCAAAAGGCCTCGTCCAGATCGGACGAAGAGACCCGGCGATCCACCCGCAGGGGCAGCCTCGCGACCTCTCGCTCCAACAGGTCCAGGCGACCCGCAAGACGAGCGAGCTCGCCCTGATTCCCGGCCTGGGCGGCAGCATCACCGCCAGTCCCAAGGCCAAGTGCAATCTCAAGCACGAGGACACGTTGACGGAGGCGGTCAGCCTCAGGGCCCTGTGTCGGACCCGCAGTCGGAGCACTCGGACGAGAGTGACTCTCGAAAGGCGCCGAGTACTCGTACTCGTACGAGGGCACCTCCGCCCCTGCTTGACCAAAATGGAGAAGTCCACTTCCACGTGAAGCGGATCCTCCAGGAGCAACGGCGTCGCGGTAAGCGACAGCTCCTCGTGAAGTGGAGGGGTTATGCCCACTCCGAGAACTCGTGGGAGCCGATTGAACGGCTCCTGATTGACTGCCCGAAGGCTGTCGCAATCTGGGAACAGAAGCGGCGGCAGCTTCATAAGTAGTCCGGGGCTTCTTGCCCGAACGGGGTACGGACGATGAATACATTCCGTACCCGCGCTCATCTTGAGCGCTAGAAGCCGCGCGCCTCAGGATGTCCCTTGGCAGCATACGCTTGCTGATCAAGTGAGCAAACCTCACACGAAGATCACGCTGGTCCAGGATGCGGGACAGCAGCTGATCTTCATGGAGTTCCCGTAACTCCGTGGGCGAGTACTTAAGAGTCTCCACCCACGCCCAGAACATGTCCTCACAAGAACGCCACGTGGGACAGTTCTCGGGCATAACCCAGGGGTATCCCCAAAGAGGATAGAGACCACCCCGGGTCTCGGGCATCTTACGACAAGTCGTGAAGTCCTTGAGAGGGATGCGGTGTGGCGCGAGAAGCACACACCGAGCAGCCTCCAAGTTGTCAACGAACAACTGTTCTTTCTGAACAAGGGCACGTTCGTAGATGCCCCTAGAAGTGTGGCCGCCCACAAGGCCACGAGGAGCGACAAGAAGCTCTAAGAAGAGGGCAGCCCCAGAGCTCTCCTCGGGAGGCCAATACCGTCTTGAGTTGATGGCAGCTCCCTGGCTGACGGTTGCCACCACCGAACCCTCACGCACACGCTGGGCAGCTTGGAATTCCTCCTGCATCTGGTCGAGATCATTCGAGACCTCCCGGGGCTCAGCGATAGCACCCTCCTCCTCCTCTTCTTCCTCCTTCTCCTCCTCTCCATTTAAGGAGTCAAAGATACTCTGATAGGAGTGTTGAGTCTCCTTCTCCTCGCGGAGTGGAGACTTAGAGGCTGTACGCTTCTTTATGGGTTTGACGCCTTCGGCTTTAGAGGCGTTAGCGCGCGCAAGACCCTCGGCAAGCGAGAGACGTTTGCGAGGATTCTCTTCCTCATCGTCACCAGCTTTGGGAGTGCCCTTAGCCTTGACGGCCAGACTCTTAGAGCGCACAGAAGTCCTGGGACTGTGATCACCTTGATCACTAGCGAGCGACTGCACGCTGTCATCCTTGTGCTCACTGGGCACTAAGCTGTGCCCTCCCACAGAGCCCGCAGGAGCATCGTGCGTGCTCTCGAACTCGGCTTCGTCCTCACTGCCCGAGTTGAACTCACGTTCCACGAACCGAGGGTTCGGACGATTGTCTGAAGATGAGGGCGACGGGCTGCGACGCTTGCTTGCACGCTTGCCCACAGCCGCGTCACCCGAGGAACCGATCGCCTCGGAGGCCACCTGAGTAGCCTCCTTGAGTGCCGAGCCTTTGCCGTGAGGCTTCGTGCTCTTGGCTTGCCCCTTACCGGCCGCAGCCTTGGAGCGTGTCTTAGCACCGCTCTTTGCTGTGCCACGAGGCATGGTAACGGTCGAATTGGAGACCTAGACGAAGAGCGCACAGGTTGCTGCGCGAGGCTCTAACTGTGAAGTGAGCCTCCGCCGCGCTCGCGCGGCCAAGTCGATGGTTTTCGACTTTGAGAATGAGAGTTTGTGACGAACACCTCTTCATTCTGATTGGTCGGTAAACCGAACCTAAGTGGGGGAGGGTGTAACGGGGTACGTAGCCATAAGTGTACCCTGGTTACATGAAGTGTGACACTTCACACTTCAGGTGTATGACACGTCATACTCCGGGATATTTGGTACAAGGTACCAAGGTCGTTCAAAGCCAACCGTGTCGCGAGCCGTCCTTGGATGGGACGGTCGACGCTGTATAGAAGTAGAACAGTACAGAGATATAAACAGAAGCAACAAGCTAAAGACAAATGTCAACACAAATTCTTTTCTGCTTGTTGTCTCCAAGGAAAATTCACGACTGACCTCTTACCTTCTTCCTTGCGACCCGCACTTCGTCCTCCATGGTCCTCGTTCCCGCCGTCAGGCACCGTTTCGCAATCATCGCCCACGATTTTGTACACCACGACAGCGAGGCGGTACCGCTCACCCCACCGCCTCACCGCGAAGATACACAGTCCTTCAGTAGCTCCGGTCCCCCATGACTTCCGTCCTCGTCATCCACGGGGACCGTACGCTCTAGCCGCGCTTGTCCCACGGAGACCGAGGCCGGCCCACAACTTCTCAGCGACTCCGTCGTGGCCCTGCATGGCTTCATCGAAAGCGTGGCCCACACGAATCTGGTCGGCCGTCGAAAAGAGCGGAGGAGGGTAACGGAACTCACCGTGCCCAAGACGGTGGCCGCCAGAACCACTCGTGACACCCTCCCCGACTGAAGCTTGACGCCCTCGTCGAGCACCCGTCGGGCCTTGATCAGCTTTCCGGGAACGGTGAGCATCTCGGCGCGCCCGCACTTCGCTCAGCCGCCGCACCTTTGGCTTGGGACCCACACAGCCGTCGGCCTTCCAGAACGCTTCGCTGAGGCGCTCGGCCTGCTCCTGCTCCTCAAGGTCCTTCGTCCACCGGGCGTATCTATCCTCAGCGACTTGCTTAGGCGTGCGTCGGCCCTTGGAGGCCTCGCCCCATCGCAGTAGGCGGCTAGTAACGGCTAGCAAAACGGTCAAACCACTGGCAAGCACCATATCGTAGTTCCAGGCGAATCCGCCGTCGACACCAAAATGCCTTTCCGCCAGTACGTAGGTCCCCAGCAGTAGTAGCGCCCCGACGCCGCAGCTTCCATAGAGAATCCATTCCACAAACTCGTACACGTAGACGGCCGTGTACAGGCCGGCGTAGGCAAACAATTCCATGAGTGACGCGAAAAGCGCGGAAAACAACAGCACGCACGGTCAATTGCTCGGTGACACTCCGCGCTGGAGCCAATACCAATACTTCACTGTAGACTTGCAGCTCAACTCGAGCACGTCGGGTAGGAACACGCACCACAAGGCGTGATAGGCCTCCAGCCAGCGGTGGGCAAGACGTCCCAACCCGTCCTCGCTTTCCGCCTCGTCCTCTAGCACCACCATCGGCGTCTGGAACAACGCCTCGTACAGCTTCCAGCGACGCACTGCCGGAGTCCTTTCCGCAATCCTCACGTAGTCGGCGAAGATCCGGTAGCGCCGGATGCAAGTCTTACACAGCCCGGTTCACTTGATCACAAATTCCAATACAGCGCCAACGATCCGCCCCACCACACACCACAACGGCTTGGTGATCATCCAGCCGACGGCGCCGCTCAGGCCCCAGAACAATCCAGACCAGTGGCGGACGGCTGCCGCCCACGCCATCTCTGTCCACGGATGACGCACGACGCACCACCCAAACGCCCAGCAGATCCCGGCAAGCCAGACGCACCACTCCGTAGCCTCAGCGAGCAACTCAATCATCGTAGCGCAGCCCCGAACGCAGGGAGTCCGATCTTTGAGTAGTCGTGCGTACCAGCGCTAGGCCGGTCCAGATAGGCAGGAGCCATCAATCATCGTTAAAAGAACTCCATCACCGTCACTTCTCGGCGCTGGGGCGAGTCCACGCCGTAACCCACAATCCCTCGTAATCGGATCTGGGACCGTGCCGGGCCCTCGTCACAAACCGTCGATCACGGGGGACAAACCGTCTCCCCCCCCAGCGCATCTGGCGTATCACTGAACCATTGACGGTCCCTGACTAGGTCAAGAACCATCAGCCTAGCGGTAAGATCCAGTCTTTCTCGCATTTCCGCATTCGTTTCCTTCTCCTCACGCCGCCACAGTTCTTCCCGCCTTCAACCATGGCCAGGACCAAGGAATCCAGCAAGGATGTCGTCGTCCGCCGTCTCCGCGCCCGCCTCGACAGCAAGGGCAAGCCGTCGGAGGAGACAATGTCCTGCGCGCCCAAGTGGACTTCTACGCCGAGCTCCGAGATCACCTGGCCGTCAACGAGGCCTCCTCGGGGCTGCAGGCAGTCGACGCCCTCGCCCTCGCCCTTATCGCGGATGACGACTCCCTACCGGCCACGCTGACGGAGGTCGTGACGCTGTTGCCGCCGCCCGGCTCCATCGAAGACGGACAGCCCCCGACTCATGCTCTCTTAGCCCGACACGACCATCAAGCGCCCAGCCCCGCGCAACAAGGCCCAGTCGAAGCGTCCGGCCAAGAAGCGACGCACCACCGCGAACTCCCTGAAGTATTCCCTCGAGCTCCCCGACGACGTGCCGGCCGCGATCCGTCGTGACGTGAATCGCCTTATCAAGGAGGCGGCAGGACGAGGGAAGACTTCATTCCGGCTGGCGTATCCGTGGTCCGGGCAGCGAGCCTGGTGCGACCCGCAAGAGCACCCGCTGCTTCATCTTCTGCACTGGCGCTTCTGGATGAAGCACCGCGCTACTTTCTTCATCTGCGCCCTCTACGCACCCACCGGCAACTCCGACGCACGCCGCAAGAAGAAGTCCGTCGCCGTGCAGGCCCGTTTGCGATTCATCCGCGCGAACATCGAGGTGTTCGGCTACTACAGCTTCCTGGCCCAGCTGGAGGACAAGGCCCACGACAACCTGATGTGGTACGGGGGCAAGGCGGCCGCTCACTCGGTAGCGGCCAAGACTCAAGCCGCCCAAGTCGACCTGGCTACGCTCTACAAGAAAAATAGGGCTCTCTACGACCGGACCATCGCCCGCGCTCTCGATCCGTTCTCCATCGACGAAGACGGCTATAGTTCTGTTCCGGAGCTGCTGGAGCAGACCCAGGCGTTGGACATCACTCGGAAGCCCCACCTCCGCCTCTCGGACGTCGCCCTGGGCCGCATCGCCATGGACGTTGCCAGCCGGTCGCCTCCCAACCCTGCTTGGGTTGGTAACAAGACTAGCGGCGTTTGGAAGCGGCTCCTCTCGGATCGGTCGCTCCGCGAGGTTCAGACCAACATTGTGCAGCAGCAATTGGACGGTACGTATGAAGCGCTGGACGACGTCAAGCCTTACGACGTGACCGAGCGAGGGGACGACGACTCCGACTTCGAAGGCGAAGACGACGACAGCTATTCGGCCTTGCCTCCTTCTGCGCCTCTTCCAGCCCGGCCCTCGCTCACGGTTTCCGGCTCCGACGTCGACGAGGAGGAGGAAGACAAGGTCGATGAAGCCGACGACGCCGCCGAGGACGCCGAAGACGACGAAGAAGAGGCCGAAGACCGCGAAGAGGCAGCCGGCGATGAAGAGGAAGCGGAAGACGGCGAGATCACGGAGAGCAAGGCCACCTCCAAGTCCAACAGCGACGCGTCCTCGGTTGACCGCAGCCACGGTTCGGGCGTGACGTCCTCCAAGAAGTCTTCGGGCGACGGGGAGGCTAAGAAGGCGCCGCGTCCACCAAGAAGACCAAGTAACCACCGACAACACGCGCTCGGCGTCGTACCGTAGCGTAGTGCCTCCCGTCCGTACTCGTAATCCCTTCCCTAATACACTTGCTTTCGTTAATCTTTCTTTTGTTCTCGTTGTCAGCCCGTTCCATCGTTTCTCTTTTCCAAATTTAAACATGTAATATAAACTCCACACCTGGTCCGTCCGCGTAAGAGTCCTGGTACCCAATCCACTTATCGAAATTCATCCAATCCTGACACCACAGACACTTATTCACGGACACAGGCTACTCCATCAGTAAATCGTAATCACCGACCTCCGCGTTCGCATCCGCCAGGCGAGAGCTCCGTCTTAACTCGGGTAACCGCTGCTTCTTCCGTTCGGCTTGTTCGAAAGCCGAGATCAGCGACTCGTACTCAGGCGACAGTGCCGCCCTCGGCAACCAGAACGTCTCAAAGTTAGCGGCCAGCGCCAAATACTCGATGCCACGGTTAACCACACGTTTGGCCACCACCTCCAGTAGAGGAGCAGTGACTCCTGTCAGCGCAGTGTCCCCCATTCCGACGGTCAACCTCTCCGAGAAACTGGAAGCAGGCAGATCAGCCTCGTCTAGCGGACCGTCTTCGATCTCGTCACCGTTCTCCTCCAAACCCTCGGGCACTTAATCCATGAAGGGCCGAGTCCACCGTCCTCGGAGCTTCTTGAGTCGGTTGACGTTCACAGGCACGACTCGGTCGGGGTGCGAGGGTATCGCAATCCTGTAAGTGTTGTCGCCCACCTTCTCAACTACTCGGTAAGGCCCGTGCCATGAGAACGACAATTTCTTCGTCCGCACTTCTCCTCGCTTGGTCCTGAATACCTGATAAACCCAGACCGGGTAACCTACTGCAAACTCCACAGCGACTTGACGCTCCAGTTTTTTTTTCATGGCGGTCCTGCGCCTTCAGCAACTGTCGCTCCACGAGGTGTCTGGAGTCGCGCAAGGATCGGAACAGTTCACGCCTATATTGGGCCACTTCGTTGCTCTTCCACTTGGTGCCCAAGTTCAGGAACGCCACATCCAGCGGCAACGCCGGGTCACGTCCGTATAGTGAGAAGAAAGGAGTGTCACCGAGAGCCTCGTGATACGACGTCCTGTACGCGAACAACACCCGTTGCAGGTAGAGGTCCCAGTCCGTCTGAGCTTCGCTTACATGCATCCGTAGCATCCCAATCAAGGTACCATTAAACCGTTCGACTAGACCTTGCGTTTGAGGATGGTACGCTGACCCAAACAGCTTCTTGACCCCCAAAGTCTGATAGAATGACTTGGCCACCTCAGACGTGAAGTTCGACCCGTTGTCGCTCAACAGTCGCGACGGCACTCCGTGCCGAGCAACCACTCCGTTCACCATAGTATCCACGAAAGTTACCGCATCCAAACGTTCTACCGCAAAGGCTTCCGCCCACCGCGTGAAGTAGTCTACAAACACGAGGATATACCGGTGACCTCTCCCAGTCAAGGGCAAAGGTCCTATAGCATCGACCACTAGCAATGAGAACGGATTAGTCAGGTCAGCCACCGGCATGCGCTGCATGAGTCCAGAACGCCACGGTCGCGGTCCTTTCCCGCCGCCACACTCGTTGCAGGTGCGGACGTACTCTTCAACATCTTTCGTCCCGCCTGGCCAAAAGGCATGCCGTCTAACCTTCTCCGTCGTCTTCGTCAGTCCCATGTGAGACGATAGCTCGTCCTTGTGACAGAAATGCAGCACCGTTTCCACGTATGTCAAGGGCACGACGGGGACTGAGACCGAGCGAGCAGGGCCGGCTCGAGCCGGCAAGTTTATGAGACGCAAGAGCATTCCTTCTTGGACGGAGTACCGAGGTCCCATCCGCACCACTCGCGCTCGCAGGTATGGATCCAGTGGCAACGCACCGTCCAGCAAGAAGGCCACCAGCGCCTTGATCCACGGCACCTTCAACTGCTCACTCACGAACTGCTCACGATCAAGGCTAAACTGGTCGACGGGTGACGGGGCGACCGGTCCGACTTCTTCTCTGACAGGATTCTCGCGTAATTCAACCGGCCCACGGTCGTCAACGTGCCCATCGGCCGGGTCGCCAGCAGCTCTGTCGGCGTATTCCACTTCTTCGTCCGCCTCGGGACTCGAATGCTCCCCGATTGAAGACGGACCCACGTCGTCGTCGTCCGGATTCAGTAGGTCGTTCATAGTCAGCGCCGCCACTTTGCCCACTGGTAGCCGAGAGAGACCGTCCACATGCCCCATAGCCGTACCGGGCTTATGGTGTATCTTGAACTGCAGACTCGACAGCTCCATGGCCCACCGGGCCAGTTTAGCGTTCGAAGTCCGATTGCCGGGACTGAAGACCCACGTTAGCGCTTGGCGGTCCGTGTACACGTCGAACTCGCGCTTGTCGAGATAACTCCGAAACTTACGCGTAGCCCAGACGACGCCCCAGCACTCAATCTCCGAAATCCCATCCTGGTTGTTAATCCAATTCTTCTGCGAGCCGGTCAACAACTTGCTGGCGTAAGCCACTACACGGTCACGGCCATCAACTTCCTGCATCAGACAAGCACCGACGGCGTACCGGGAGGAGTCCACAAACAACTTGAATCGCCTCCGGCCGTCCGGATAGGCCAGGATAGGAGGCTTCATAAGAGCTCTCTTCAGCTGCCGAAACGAAGCCTCGCAGTCCTCGTTCCACTCGAACGGAGCATCCTTCGCTTTCAGTCTCTCCAGAGGCGCCGATATCCAGATTTGTACCTCCGGAAATAGCTCGTCAGGCCCAAGAACGACCGAATCTCGTGCAGGTCCCTCGGCGGCCGGATGTTCATCACCGCTTTCACTTTCTCAGGGTTCGGCAGAATGCCGGCCGGCGTCACAATGTGACCCAAGAATGCCACTTGACTCCGCCCCCAATGACACTTCTTCATCTTGAGCTTGAATCCCGCCTCACGGAACCGAGTCAGCACCTGACGGACACGCACTAGGTGCGTAGGGAAATCCTGGCTGAAGATCACACAGTCATCCAGGTACACCAAGCACACTCGCCACTTCAAGTCCACTAAGACGGTCTCCATCAACCGTTCGAACGCCGGCACCGCATTACAGAGTCCAAACGGCATCACCAGCCACTCGTACAGGCCAAACTTACACGTGAACGCCGTCTTGGCCACGCTGCCCTCGTCCATCGGCACGTTCCAGTAACCGGACGCGATGTCCATCGTAGAGAAGATCTGCGCACCTCCTAATACATCCAGGATATCGTCAATCAGTGGCATAGGATAGCAATCCGTCACCGTCACAGCATTAAGCTTCCGGTAATCAATACAAAAGCGAATTCCTCCGTCCGGCTTCCGGATCATCAGGACGGGACTAGCCCAAGGACTGTTCGACGGCCTGATCAACCCGAGATCCAGGTATTGCTGCACTTCAGCCTCCATGACTTCCCCTTCCGCCATCGACACACGGTAGGGCGGCTGCTTTATGGGCTTATTATCCCCGGTGTCTATCTCAAACTTGAGTCGGTCTGTCCTCCCAGGTTTCATGGACGACGTGACGAATAAGTCGTCGAAGCGGGTCAGCTCCTCGCGGAACAGTTCAATCTGTTCGTCCGTCAACTTGGACTGTGAGAAATCCGCCTCGCCCTTCTCTTCCTTGTCGGGCGGCACCGTCGGCTCGGGGCTCTCGATCTTCTCGAGCTCCACTAACTCAACGTTCCCCGAGGCCGACGACACTCTCGCTTCTTGGGACTCCGTCGACTCGACTGCCGCGCCGGTAGGCACGGAAGGCGAGGGAGGGCCAAACGCCGACTCAGGAATCACGGACACGCAAGCGACCGTGGAGCCCTTCTTGACCCAACTCACGTCGGACGAAGCATTGCACACCTCGACTAGGACCTGGCCGTTTTCCACCGTGCACAAGGTCCGCGCGACACACAGAGTAGGCGAGAGATCAACGGTGCTCTCCACCAGGACCGTAGTCTTGTCAGCAGCGTCGCCGACGACGTTGGCCATCACTAGAGCTTGGCCTCGCGGAGGCAGGCGTATCGAGGCGGCCTTCTGAGCCATGTAGGCGTCCTGCACCACCGTGTACCTGAGCGGTAGTTCCTCACCGGTATCCTTGAGCGTCATCCTTCGTTCGGCGACATCGATCACCGCCCCAAAAGCACCCAAGGCGTCCACCCCCAAAATGGCGTCGACGTGCAACTTGTCAGCTACCAGCACACTAAGGGAGACCTCCACAGTTCCCAGTCGCAGCGAGAGACCGATCCATCTTCGTATCTTGAGAGGGTGTCCCGACGAGCTCTTGACTTGACCGCCGTACGGCTCTAGCGTCTCCTGGGACCGGCATAATCGCTTCAATACTCGACTGTCCACGAGACTCAGAGTCGCACCAGTGTCGGCCAGCATCCGAGACGGTAAGCACTCAATGTACCCACTCGAGAGTGCCTCAAAGTTTCCAACGGCGCACACGACCCGCCGGCCATCCTCGACCACGACATGGACATCGGCTCTTACGTCATCGTGGGAGACGCCAAACCCACCAGGCAGCTCCACAGTAACTACTTCATCCAAGCCGGTCTTCGGCACCTTCGTAACGACCCTCGGTGACGGCCGCACCACCTCCACGTAGTGGGAGGCGTCGTCTTCGTCCTCGGGATAGAACAACAGCTCGCACAACCCAGCCGTTGACTCGAAGAGCGTGGAGACATCCGTCCGCCGGGCTGTTCTCCGCCGCTCACGGCGTCGTGCCGACGAATTCCTCACCCTTTTAGCCCGCAGGAGGAGCTTGGTCCAGACGAGAGCTCCTTCCGCCTCCAAGTACGCTCTGAGGTATGCCTCTAAACGTCCCCACAGTACCCCGCTCTTAGTAGGTCCAGCTGCCCCCCTTTCGGCGAGAGCACGGAGACGCTGCCAATCCGGAGTAGGCGCCTCGTCCCACCTAGGCTGAACTCCGTCAGTCGTATGTCCGTCTTCGCCGGGCGTCGACGCCGTCGCGCTACCAGCCTCCAAGCACACCTGCAACCAGCGATAAGCGACGGTACGCCCCGTCGCACGTACGCCTCGATAATCATCTACCGGAGAACTGTCACCAGGGCGTGAAAGTCTTCCGTCTTCTTCTCCAGCATCCGTTCCGACGGCGGGCAACAGGATGTTGGCACAGACGTCGTCTTCACCTCGATCCTCCACTCGTCGGGGATTCTCACGGCCCTCGTTCAGCTTCTCCGACGGTGACGACCTTCCTAGGGTAGTAATAGCCGTACGCACAGCATTTACTACGGGCGTCTTGAAGTCTCGGTTGGCCCGTTTGGCCTCCTCGGTCGTCTCCAACGTCTTCCGGAACCAGTCTTGCCAGTGCTCCGGCGAGGCAAGCTTTCCAGGGAAGGCACGGCGAGTTCGCTCCAAGACCTCGGGCGAGATGCCCAACAACCGAGACAACTCCGCTATTGAAGGGCCCCTTACGGCCACAGTGTTTAGTCGCACACGCTCCAATACAACGGCGTCGTCCAACGGGTACAAACGGTTCTCTAAATCCTTGTCATATTCTTCACTTTCCGTATTAACTTTCGCGCCAGCTAAAACCGTAGCCTCTTGGCCGGGCTCACACTCCTCCATGGCGTCCAGTTCCGCATCCGTGAAGATACAGCCAGTTTCAGTTTGCTCGATCTCCTTGCTCGGTTTGGCATCCTCGTCCGTGTCAGCCTCCTTGTCCATGTCAGCCTCCTTGTTCCTGTACATCACAGCGGCGCTAGGTCCATCAACACTGCTTACCCTTTCCGCACGCATCCTTCGTTCCGGCCGCGTCTTCTGCCCCACAGGCAGAGTCTCCACAGGAACCGCGACGCCGTCGATAGCGACCGTAGTTCCCACCGTAGAGGCCACCTTGGATAGATCCACGGCTACCTTCTCACACCGTTCCGGGGCGTCGTTCACCACGACAAGGTTTCCCTCTTCTTCCGTGCCTACTATCCGGATACCCCTCTTTTCCCTCGACTTTTTCTCCTTTTCCTTCGTCTTCTTCTCTTTCTGCACCACAACAGCCACCGCGCTGTCCTCTTTCCCCGTCACTGCTACCTCTTCATCAACGTCCACTGTAACGGCCTTGTCTTTTCCATCCTTCACTCGGTCGCCACTCGAGTCATCCACTTGACCAGAGGAAGGAGTGACTCGTTCTTCCCCTCCCTCACGCTCCCGTCATTGACGATACGCTTCGGCCGTCGACGCCTTCAGAGTCGTGGCCAATCCCTTCAGCGTAGCGATCTCGGGACACTGAGAGACACTATGACCGATCTGGTGGCAGTAGAAACACCGCATCGTCGAGTTTCCTCCTCCGTTTCCACCGCTAGGCGGGCCACGGGCCCCGGTATACGGCACCTCACACTCAGCCACAATATGACCGTACTGGTTACACCGTCGGCAAGTCATCGTTTGGCGCGAACACGTCACGCGAGTGTGACCCTTGTAGTCGCATCGGCCACAGACAGGTTCTCCTTCTTGCGTGTGGGCATCCTCCGCCATCTTGATGCCTCGACGGGCACGATTACCTCCGAACGGACCAGCTCCACCAGCGGGAGGGAGCTGTCCGTGGCCTCCGGAGCTCGGCACCACCGCCGATACAGTAGGCACCGCAGCCGGCGGCACGGACTGCAAATCTTCCATCACCTGGTGTTGCCATTCCAGCTGCTGCAACAGGAAGTCGTCCAGCTTCTGGGTTAGAGCGTTCACAGTCGCCGTGTGACTATCAGTCCTCGCCCGCGACTCGTCAGGAAATTCGTCGTCTTCCTCCACAGGACGATGCATGTCCTTAAACATTAGCCACTCGCACGCCTCCGGAATATCTCGAGCCGGGCTTGAATCTAGAGCAGCCAGCATCCTCTTGTTCTTCAGGCCACGACGGAACAACTGATACCGCATCTGAGGGTTCGGATAGTCGAGGGAGTCGCACAGGTCTGTGACTCGGTCTCCCCATTCCTCCACTGACTCGCCGCGTTCACGCTTAGTGGAGTACAGTCTCTCCCAGAGCTCGTCGGCCGTCCTGCTGAGGAACCGGTTGTGGAAATGCACCTTCAGCGTCGCGAACGACTTGATGCTGGAGTTGCTCCACCATCTTTCGGCCTCACGTCCCTTCAGCTTCTGTCGGAAAACCAACAGTCGCTCTCTGTCTGGCAACCGGTCAGTGTGGTCCTCGAACAGCTCCCAGAAGTCGCGCGCCTTCTCCACCGTAGCCGTGTCCGAGTAGAACATCGGCAGCACCTTCATCACAGTCGACATCTTCGTGGTCCAGTCTTCACGCCTCGGCAGGCGTGACGGCCCAGGCAGGGCCCGGACCGGTGGTCGAACACCAGCACGCGGAGGGGCCTGCGGACCTCGCGGCACCACTGCCGAACGCGGCGGAACGCCCGGGGCGCTCCCTACTAGTCCCGTCCAAGCAGGGCGCGGACCAGTCCTAAGGATTCCAGGCGGAGCAGGATGCGTCCGGGTCGCCGCGTTACTCTGACCTCCCGTAGCAGCAGTAGCCGTCCGAGCAGTACCCGTCCCAGACACGCCCGGTCCCGTGGTCCTGTAAGGGGCCACCGGATTGGCAGTGACCGTCTTCTTAACAGCGACCGGCGGAGCCTCGTAAGGCTGCTGGGGCACGGACGCCGTGTACGCGAACACCGTGTTGTCCGAGGGTGCGAACCCCTTGGACGTCCAGCTCCAGTCAAACGCCGGCCGGTCCCAGCGGCGCTCCTCGGTTTCCAGTGTACTGCGGAATGAAATCCACTGGGGCTCTTCTTCTTGGCCGGTTCCCAATTCTCGACAGGAGGGTCGTCCTCCTCGTACTGGCCGAACACTTCCCAGCTGCCGTGCTCATAGGCAAGTTGGTAGTCGTCTTCAAGAGGAACGCCCTCCTCCACCAGGGGTACCTCATTCGGGGCCCGGGGACCCCGCCTCCCGTACCGGGCGCCGGCTCCGTTTTCACCTCTCCTTCTACCTTGACCGCGTCTTTGACGCCACCCGTCACCTCCAACCGGCCTTCTCCAGCCGCCCGTAGCTCGTCGCGCGTGCTCTTACGTAGAGCGTCCCGATCAGCAGCGGTTGTCACTCCCACAGGAGTCTTCTCTTCCTCATCTTCCTCGTTTACATCCTCCGTCTGAGTGTCTCCCTGACTCTGTCCTTCTTCAGCCGCCTCTCTGGCAGCGGACCGCCTCAGGTCCTCTTCATAGTCGTCTTCCACGTATACCGACATGACACTCTTCTCCAATGCTTCCCTCGTCAAACTCTTGTTCCCAATACTACCTTATGCGCCCCTGGGCTCGATACCAGGAATTCCGCGCCGAATAAACTCCAAACTTCACACTCCCTTATGCGCCCCTGGGCTCTATACCAGGAATTCCGCGCCGAAAATCACACTCCAGTCCCTATGCGTCCGGGCCCGATACCAGACCTCCTTGCACTACGGGATCACACTCCACGACGTCTCCGACGGTTCTTCTTCACAACGAAGACCAATACCCTGCTTCTCCACCACGTGTCGCGAGCCGTCCTTGGATGGGACGGTCGACGCTGTATAGAAGTAGAACAGTACGGAGATATAAACAGAAGAAACAAGCTAAAGACAAATGTCAACACAAATTCTTTTCTGCTTGTTGTCTCCAAGGAAAATTCACGACTGACCTCTTACCTTCTTCCTTGCGACCCGCACTTCGTCCTCCATGGTCCTCGTTCCCGCCGTCAGGCACCGTTTCGCAATCATCGCCCACGATTTTGTACACCACGACAGCGAGGCGGTACCGCTCACCCCACCGCCTCACCGCGAAGATACACAGTCCTTCAGTAGCTCCGGTCCCCCATGACTTCCGTCCTCGTCATCCACGGGGACCGTACGCTCTAGCCGCGCTTGTCCCACGGAGACCGAGGCCGGCCCACAACTTCTCAGCGACTCCGTCGTGGCCCTGCATGGCTTCATCGAAAGCGTGGCCCACACGAATCTGGTCGGCCGTCGAAAAGAGCGGAGGAGGGTAACGGAACTCACCGTGCCCAAGACGGTGGCCGCCAGAACCACTCGTGACACCTACCATTGGTCAAACGACATTGCATTTCTATAGGTAATTTATAGTTTGTATTAAGCCCGAACTTTATCTACCTATAAATATACTCAGTTTACAATCTACCTTATTTAGGTCACTCCACTCTCTTTTGAATAAAGAGGGGACCTGTGAACTGCCGTTCACTGAGAGTTTGTATACTCTCGGAAGATAACTTCCTCTAGCGCAAGGTGCTGTGTGACCCCGTCACACTTAGCGTACCTATAAATATACTCAGTTTATAATCTACCTTAAATTGGTCATTTCGCTCCCTTCACGCAAAAGGGGACCTGTGAGCTGCCGTTCACTGAGAGTTTGTAAACTCTCGAACGACAACTTCCTCTAGCGCAAGGTGCTGTGTGACCCCGTCACATCTTCTGTGCGGCTCTAGCATCTATTTGAGCCAATTACAGAGCGTTACGTATCTAATTTCGGCCAATCGGTGGACTATGATATTGCCGGAGGTACGGTAGTAAAATTTAGTAATGATCTTTTTGTGTTGATGAAAAAGTAAGCCCAGCCGCTTACGATTTGACCGGAAACTTAGCTTTTTCAGAAAATGTCAGACAGAATGTCTGACGCGATGGGTACGATATCCGACGAATGAATGTTTTTTCGCGATAGAAATATATTTGTTTTAGCTTTAACTTCAATACCAGGATAAATTGAAAAATAGTTGTTGCTTAAATCTAAAGAAAATGCGCTACCAATAATAATAAGATCTATGCGTGCAAACGGTAAATCTGTCAAAGAGGATGTGATGAAGCCGATGGTAGCATTCTCTTCCAACGCGGGACCAGCTCCATGTTCGTTCCCAAACGGTGCGCCTGGATGAATACCGTTGACCCGGAGCCCTCCTGCGAGCTGAAAACTACTTCGCCACCAAAGTAACGAGCAAACAGTCCTGCCATAGGCATACCGTAGCCACCGCCACTGAAGTGCTCGCAGTACGTCGGGTAGTTGTCCGAGTTAATAGGCGGGTACAACGGACTCGTGGTGTAGTCGTAGTGCCACATCTTGTTCCAGCGACTGCGTGGAACACCTTCACCCTCGTCACTCACCTTGACGGTCAGGTCTTCACTGCCTTGGCAAATCACAATCTCCACGGGAGAAAGTTCGTCACTCGAGCGGTATTTGCTCACGTACGGGTAAATGTTGACTCCTGCAACCTCCTCGACGGCTGGGATGTAAAAATCCAACGACGGACTCTTCGGGTTCATTACACGCTCGAAGCGGTTCACTTTAATTCGTGGTGGAAGTTGAGACCGAGAGCGGTGGTGCTCCACGGTGGCTCGCATCGAGTTCTTGACCAACTCGAACACCATGTGGTACAAGTGCGACTCGACGTACAAGAAAGGCATGTTGGCGCTGGGAGTCACACGAATCTAAGTGGGAGGCGCCATACCGCAATACCGGACACACAACCTCCGTGCTTGTTTGCACGCATCGCGAACGACCTGCTCGGCATTAACCAAATGCACTCGACCACCAGTTTGCTCCAATGACTCGACGTGGTGTCCGATGATCATGCGAATGCCAATGCGGCCAAGAAAAAACTTGTCCAATCGGTCCTTGATATTCTCCTGCACGCTTTCAAGCTGCAGTGCGCTCTGGCCCAAATCCGTTGCCTTGAGTTCCTGTAGACCGTAGCAAATGAGTGGCACGAGGTTTGAACCACGCTCTTTAGCATTGCGCATCTTTTCTGTAAACATCAGGTCCTCTGCGGCGTTCGTCGGTGACTTCGTGCGGTTGATGCTTTGCAGTTCGTAGCGGTAGAAGTTGATAGCGTGGCGCACCGACGTGGTCTCGCTCAGACCCACGGGCAAGTCGGACAGCTCCATGACGGCTCGTGCGTATCTCGACTGCAGCTCCTTGTGAGCGAACTTCGCCGAAATGAGACGCAGCTTCATGCTACCGTCGGCAAACGTGCGCATCTGCTGAAGAGTCGTGGGTGTTGGGTCGTTGTGGGCGATTTCGCACACCTCGTCCATGGAGAGGGGGTTGGCCTCAAAGTCTGCACGGAAGGCGTCCATGTGCAACAGAGCGGCGCCGTGGCGAGCCACGGCAGTCTTTGCGATGACGGGGAGCCCTGCTAATAGAAGGGGGTTGACACCACGCCTGATGACATGACTGCCTGCCTGATATGGATGAATCCTGTGGCGAAGGACAAGGATAAGAACTCGAGAAGGTGCAACAAGTTTCTCGAGAAGAAGAACATTTCAAACGTTTGAACAGTTTGAATGTTTGAACGTAGCAGTAGTTTAAACAGAGAGAGCCTTGCCGCTCATCCATAATTTAATTCACTTTCAAATCTTCCAACTCAAGCTCAAGTCGACCCACACAAGCGACCCTCTGCCAGCCAAGGCCGCTACACACGTCCAAGTCGACTCAAGCCCGATCCGCGTGCCCTCTGCTAGCCAAGGCGCGTCATTTTGATATATCATATTTGGAACGGATCAATCATTCAAGACCTTCCAAGATGGTGCGACAGTCTCACGACAAGAACGACTACGTCACCTACACTATCGTCACGAGCCCAGCGACTGAGCACGCTCCGGCCGACACCGCGAAGATCAACATCCCCAAGTTCTACGGCGGCAATGCCAAGGACTGGCTGCGATGGAGCATGCGCTTTAAGAGTCTAGCCCAGCAGAAAGGATGGAACGTCGAACAAGCCGCACTACAACTTCTCCTACTACTTGACGGTGAGATGAAGAACGATGTCGAAGATGCTGCGAGACAGGCGGCGCAGGAAGGATTCTCATTTTCCCAATTTTACGAGAATATCGGCCAGCAACTAGTCCCTCTCGACTACAGCGAGACCCTCGACGAAGAACTTTGGAACCTAACCAAGCGCTCGAACGAGTCAGTACAGCAAGTCTACAGACGGCTCAAGGAACTCGTGCGTATGTTCGCTGAATTACCAGTGAACGCTGAAAGTCTCCCCGAGGTACAGCAGTGCCGCTTCCTGAAGCGTGCCATGCCTCACGCGTGGCAAGACAAACTTGCCGCGTCTGGAATCGTCCACGAAAGAATGAGTGAGTTACTTCAGTACTTCGAGCGCATTGAAATGCGCGAGAAGTCCATCTCGAAGGACAAAAACAGCAATCAGCAGCAGAAGCCTTCTCGCTACTCCCAACCGAGCAAGTCTACCCACTTGGAGCGACACAAGAGCGGTAATGACAAGAACAAGCACGGGAACTCTGCTGCACCAACACAGAAAGGACAGGGTAAATGGTGCTCACACCATCAGACCTCATCCCACAACACCAGTGACTGCTTCGCACTCAAGAAGCAGCAACCAGCCGAACACAAACAAGCTGAAACTAAGAAGCCGTCCAAGTCGAAGAAGTACCCGAAGGTGTACAAAGCTGACAGTGAGTCCAGTGACGAGGATGAAGAGTTCAAGTTCATCGGTCTGGTAAATAAGAAGCCTTCTACCACAAAGGCGCCATTGCGCATTGACGTGCAGTTACGTGGCGAACACTCCACTATTGAAGCCCTCCTGGACAGTGGAGCATCGAAGAGTGTAATCAATGCGGCAGCTATGGAAGCTATCGCCAAGCACGGACGCAGACAAGTCGCGTCCAACACAACCTTTCAGACTGCAGGTGGTCCGGTCAAGAGTGACGGTAGCGCCATCGTGCAGTTCAAGTTCACCAAGCTCAACCCGTCGGTCAGAATTACCCACCGGTTTGAGGTCCTTGAGAGCAGCACAGACTCAATGGTCATTGGACGAGACCTGATGGAAGCACTGGGCATTGTGCTCAATTTCAAGGATAAAATCGTTCAATGGGATGGCTGCTCCACCGCGCTGAACACGGGCTCTCCGGTTACTGCGACGGCTTTGGATACGAATACCGACCCCGAGTTCCCCGACGAGTACAAGGAGACAAGCGACGATGCAGTCCAACCGACTGAGTTGATGCCTGACACGGTGTCTGGAGAATTGGCTGCACGCTACCTGCATCTCCTGCAGCAGTACGCGCATCTATACGATGGCCATCTTGGCAGAATGAAGTTCGACGACTACGTGCTTCCTCTGTCTCCTGACTTTAAGCCCGTGCATGCAAAACCGTACGCGATTGCAAGGAGCATCGAAGCCAAAGCCAAGAAAGAAATCCAGCGATTGGTCAACCAAGACGTCCTCGAACAGATTTACGACTCGGAAATGGCCTCTCCAGCTTTCTTCATAGTCAAACCGAACGGTTCGTTACGGTTGCTGATCGACTTCCGACTACTGAACAGGTACCTGCGCCGCAGCCCGTACTACGTGCCCAAGATCCGCGAAATTCTCATGCGCCTCGCAGGGGCGAAGTGCCTTTCATCATTTGATGCGAACATGGGTTACTACGCGCGTCGACTTGCCAAAGAAAGCCGGCCATACACAGCTTTCTGCTTGCCATGGGGCAAGTTCCAGCACAAAAGACTTCCCATGGGCGTTGCAACCGCACCTGATGAGTATCAAGCGTCTATGGAGAAGATCTTTGGAGATCTCGAATTCGTTGTGGTTTATCTCGACGACATACTGGTGTTTTCTCGCAACGAGGAAGAACACTTGGAGCACCTTCGTGTGGTTTTCGAAAGGCTCAACAAAACCATATCACCCTCAACGGCAAGAAATGCCACATCTTACGTGACTCCGTTGACTACCTAGGCTTTACGCTAACTGCTGAAGGCATTCAGCCGCAGGCCAAGAAAATTCAAGCCATACAGCAAATCGCAGTGCCCAAGAACAGGAAGGAACTCCGTCGGTTCCTTGGAATGATAAATTATTATCGCGACATGGTACCTAACAAAGCTGCACTATGTGCTCCGCTCAACCGATTCACCAGCAACAAGGTCCCGTTTACCTGGCTGCAGAGCGACACAGACGCGTTCAACGCTATCAAGAAGGCGTTTGCCGAAGCTGTACTCCTGGCGTTTCCAGATTTCGACCAACCCTTTCATGTGTACGCCGATGCCAGTGGAAAGCAGCTTGGAGGTATCATCATGCAGCAGAAATCCATTCTTGCCTGCTACTCTCGGTCACTGAACAAGTACCAGATCAACTACACAACGATGGAACTGGAATTGTTGTCCATCGTGTCTCTGCTTCGCGAGTATCGAACTATGTTACTTGGCTTCGAGGTCGTGGTCCACACCGATCACAAAAATTTAATCTACCCGACAGAGACGAATTTGCGCGTGAAGCGCTGGAAGCTACTTCTTTCTGAGTACCGACTCAAACTACACTACATCCAGGGTTCCAAGAACATCGGTGCTGACGCGTTCTCACGTATGCAGTTCGACTCTAACCAACAGCAGACGCTTGACGAAGAGATCTACGCTGCGACTGACGAGCCTGAGTGCGTAATGCACGGCCCAGTCATCCGAGATCATCAAGAGAAAGATGAAACAATTCAGACGATCAAGTCTGCATGTCTTGCCGGAACCAACAATCCTGACTACAAGCTCATGCCTCTTCTTGGTTGTCCACTGGTCGCGTATCAGAAGCGAGTTGTTATTCCTGAATCGCTGCGCGAGGATCTCGTAAGCTGGTATCATCAGAACCTCGGACATCCTGGCCATGAGCGTCAATTCAAGACGATGCATCAAGCTCTCTACTGGCCCGGTATGGAGGCCTTTATCACAGCGTTCGTCAAGAAGTGTCTTGTGTGCAAGCGTGCAAAAGTACACGGTGGCAAGCAGGACTACGGACTATTGCCCCCACGAACGTTGAAGACAGCGAATCCATGGGATGTGGTACACGTTGACCTAATTGGTCCTTACGACGACGGTGGTTATGGTATCACAATGATCGACCACGCCACACGCTGGCTCGAAGTCGCCGTCCAGCCCAACAAGGAGGCGCTAACGACAGCTGAGAGCTTCGACCGTCAATGGCTCTGCCGGTACCCTCGTCCAAAACAAGTAATCCACGACCAAGGCCCAGAGTTTACTGGAAAAGAATTTCAAGAGCTCTTGCTGAGCTACGGTATCACGGCGAAGCCCATTACCGTTAAGAACCCACAAGCCAATGCCATCTGCGAACGAGTTCATTTGGAGCTACTAAATATCGTTCGGTGCTACGAGAATGTGGACTGGAAGAAGGCGTTAAACTACGCGGCATTTGCAGTGCGTGCCAGTTACCACAGTATTCTGAATGCGTCACCCGGACAACTCGTCTTCGGCCAAGACATGATATCTCGCCAATTGCATCAAGCGAACTGGAGCTATCTGTCCAAGAGAAGGTTCGAGGCGATCCTCGCTGACAACGATCGCGAGAACGACAAGCGCATCGAGCACTTCTACAATCCAGGAGACAATGTCATGCTTCGGATCCCGAAAGCTTTTCGATCCAAGACGCGAGCTGTTGCACACGGCCCGTATACCATCAAGCTAGTGCACACCAACGGCACGGTCACCATCGACAAAGGTGCAACGACGCAGCAAGTCAGCATCCGCCGCATCTTTCCTTGTTAAACCGCACAGGTTCATGGGGGGAGTATGACATGACTGCCTGCCTGATATGGATGAATCCTGTGGCGAAGGACAAGGATAAGAACTCGAGAAGGTGCAACAAGTTTCTCGAGAAGAAGAACATTTCAAACGTTTGAACAGTTTGAATGTTTGAACGTAGCAGTAGTTTAAACAGAGAGAGCCTTGCCGCTCATCCATAATTTAATTCACTTTCAAATCTTCCAACTCAAGCTCAAGTCGACCCACACAAGCGACCCTCTGCCAGCCAAGGCCGCTACACACGTCCAAGTCGACTCAAGCCCGATCCGCGTGCCCTCTGCTAGCCAAGGCGCGTCACTGACAACGCCCATGATTGTTATAGTTGTCGGGTCAAATTGAATTGTGAGTTTTGAAGTGGCTCACAGTTTTCTGCTTGGTTGTGTGCGTGTCTCTGGTCACTCTTCTTGTCGCTCTAATTTACATTTAAATGCAA